TTTGTTTCAGCCTTAGCATGAATTATAATGTAGTACCCTTTTGGTTTGGTTTTGAACTTGATTTTAGAAAAGAGAGTAGATGCACTGAAGGTTGATTTCTTGAAGTACTTGTTTTCCTGAGAAGTAAGATAGAACTTATAAGTTCTCCATTTTAAATTAAAGGTGAGGAGATCTGTGTTGGTTTTATTTGTTCATATAGTTATGATTTTGAGGAACCTTTGCATTTCTTGCATACTAGTTTTGCTCCAGTACTGATGGAGATGTTGATCCTGCCTGCATTCAGTAGCTTTAATTTTCATGATTCCCATCAGTAGTGAAGGGTCCAGACAGCCACCACTGAATGAGGGATGATCAAAAAAGGTGGAAGAACAGAGAAGACAAAGCAATTTTTATAAGATTGCTAGTCAATATATTCTCAGTGACAACAGGTCATAACAAAAGAAACTGATTTTATTCTACAATGAGATTGCAGGTCTGATAAGAAAAATTGATTGCACAAAATCAATTTCATTTTTTGTAAGACTTCAAACTATAGAATATTCTGCTAAGCAAATCACCATAATATATCAATAGAAGGCTTTAGGGGGGTGGGCTCCAACTGATGTGGTTATGGTTTGAGCAGTAGCATTGTCTGATCACTGTCAAATGATGCAGTATGGATGCCTCACTGTGCTTTGACCATGAGTATTAAGAACTGGCAGATCACAGAAAGTAGTGTTTTCTGTGAAGAATCAATGCATAGCAGGGTATTGCTAGCAGCATTTAACAGGGACTGTCAGCAAACCTGTCAAATTCAATGCTCAACAGTGATTCAGAAGTAAATAAAAAAACTTTGCTGATCCAGCACAGAAATGATACAAAGATTAGTCAAATATAATTAATGACAGAAAACAAGACAATCCCCAGAAAAGTGCCATGAATATGACTTGGGCCTGGAGGAGCGAGGGAGGAGGAATGGCTTAACCAGTGAGAAATTTAAGAGTTTCTCTGTTTAGGTTAAACAAGATTCAGAGGTATCTTGATTACAGTACATAAGTACCTTCACAGGAAGAAAGTATGGGATACTGAACGACTCTATATTTTAGCAGAGAAATGGAAAGCAGAAAGCAGTGACTGGAAGCTGAAACTAGAAAGGGTCAAAGTAGACATTAGATAAAATTTTTTAAAGTGATTTTGAAGGGCCATTAAAGTACTGTACTAGAGGTATGAGTGCATCTTTCCTCACCTGATATCTTTAATCTAAACGTGAATATTTGTTTTGGAAGACACACTTTGGCCAAACCATAGGCTGTCTTCAGTACAACTAATAGTGATGACTATGGTAGTGAAGACATGACCATTCACATTTTGACAGGGATTGCAGAAAGCTAGTAAGAAATCTAGGTGTGTACTTGGGCTTATACAGAAGTCCCTAGCAGTGCACCTACAGTGCTGCCGATTAAACAGCGTCTATGACTACCTTACTGCAGCCTTGCCTGCATTCTGCTGTATAGACACATGGGAGGAGGTAAGGTTGAAAAAGAAAAGGAATATCTCAGTTGAGAAGTAACTCTAAAATAACAGTAGGGAGCTCAAACTTGAAGCTTTTTGTAAGGAATGGGAGTATTTTTTTGAAGTTGGAAGAAAGATAATTTTAACAGTAATATTTTATAAGCACTATAGGGAGATATTATCAGAGATCAAAGAAAAGGCATTTGCAGTAGGCAAGGGAGAGAATGAGAGCTGTGGTGCTTAATCCAAGGGAAAGCAGTTCTTTGAAATGTTGTGAAAAAGGAAATGGCAAAATGTTATTTCCAAAAAACCGACCAGCATAGCATGGAAGTGAAAAACTCATTTTTCTTTCATCAAAAAAAAAAAAAAAAAGAGCTACATTCTGCTCCCACTTTCAAACTTAAAACACTATAAATTGGCCAGTCGGTAATAACTGAGACTGCAGCTTGGTTTTACCACCCTAGTTTTTATTCAGCAGCACTACAGATGTCATCTATGGGGCTTGAATTCCATAGAACTGACCAGAGTTTGGTCTGATTTTACCTTTTGTTTGAATAATCATAATGATAGGAGGATTTTAAAAACAAGATCTGAATCCCTGTTGAGGTTTTTAATACCTCCTATTGTGAGGTCACTTGGATTTAGGATTTCTGCTTGGGTCTATCTCATACATTTTTACAGATATTCAAAAGCCTGTAATAGCCCACACACAGGTTATATTAATTTCCAGTGCCTAAATCCCTTAAGTGCTTTGGGGATTTCCCTGCTAATCCTCTTTTTAATGCATAAACCTAGAGGGTAGGTTTGAACCTTTGGGATTTATTCTTTGTGTTGGTTGTTTTCCAAGTGAAGAATCTTTCAAGGGTAACAACAGTAAGTGCTAAATACACAAAGATATAGAAAGTTTATGTGCTGTTTATATTATCACAGCAATCTGCCAGTCTTTTTTTGGCACAAGAAGGAAAAGAAAGTGTGACTATTATTAGTAATTATGCTACTTATAGTAACTTTAAACACTTATTAATATTAAATTTATGCAAAAGTATTAAATCCTGACTGAACAACTCAAATCCTTTCCTTTCCAAGGGCAAAATAACAGTATTAATATTAATGAAGCCACAAAATACAAGCTAACTGACAGCATTTTTGCAGTTGCTGTATTTTGTTACTGAAAATGTATTATATTTTTCATGTCTGAATGTAAAAAACAAATAAAACTATCACAAACTGCTCTTTGTTTTAAGTGACATGCCTTTTCTTTATGATGCATGCTTTGCCATAAAAAGGGTGTGCTTAATGCATTTCTGTTGGGAGATGCCTATTTATTCTGACAAACCGATCAGCCTCCAGGGTGTTCTTTTGCCACAGAACTGATTTTACATCTCATCCATTATCTAATAAGATGTGAAAAGAGTATCCTGTCTTACAAAAAATTCAGGCTTTGTTTCATTACAAGGATGTGGCAGGCTCAATCATAGACTTACTTGCAGGATATACAGTTGTTAGTGAAAGTCCCAGTTAAACAATCATGCATATTTCCAGCAAGCCTGTGGGGAAAACATTTGTAACATTGGTCCTGAGGATAATTTATTTCAAAGGTAAGTATAAAATGTGGACTCTCTAATAAGAAAGTGCATTTCACATCTTAAATAGTACTGCATGAATTTATGAATTTCATTATTATAATAAACAGCAATGCCTGAGTGTCTTTGCAAAATATATGCCCTGGGTTTTGTTTTTTCTTTCTTCATTATTTCCCTGTTTTCGATGTTTATGAAGAGTTTAAAATTGCACTTGTGAGAGAGATTGGAGTGAGGAAAGCAAACTGAGGCATTGTGTGATAAACGCAGTGATAATATAAATGTATACAAAACCCTATCAAACAAATGTTGTCAGTCAGATGTGTTCATAAGGAGGAAAAGTCACAAAGGAAAAAGAGAATAGGATACACGGTAGGAAATACAGGTAAACCTGGGCAGTGTTTAACATGCCTGAATTTTTTGACCACTAATGCACTGCAAATCATTGTCGTATTTAAATGACGCTCTATTACAGTAACACAGCCTCTCATACAACATATATTGCAAAAAAGTGCCTCCATTGTGAAGCTGTTTGCTAACCACAAGTGAATTAACAAATCAGTGTTGGCTGAAGTAAAACAAAACATTTTAGATCATTGACAGAATAGTGGAGAGAAGTGACAAAAAAGCAAACAGATGATTAGGTTTGATATCTGTGGAAGTTGCAACACTCATGCACTCCTCCACTGCAAATTTCTCTGACTTTCTGAATAACAGGATCAATCCTTTTGGACTTGAACAATACTTCTTTTTATGAAGTGCAGTTTCTTTAGCATGACAATGAAATATGATTTTCAGTGCTTCTTAGGAAAGTGAAAATACAGCTCGAAAGAGTTCAAAATGAAATTGCAAAAGCTGGAATTTGTGGCAGATAAATGTTCTAGTGTCATGTCCTCCTGATATCCTTTATTCAGTACATGTGAATGTAGCTCTGTATGTAAAAATCAAGGCTGTTTTATCAGTCTTGCTTATAATGCCAGTCAGAATGTCTTACTGCTGAGAGATCTTTCAGAGTTTGGAGTTGCATCTAGACAGCACATCTTTAAAACAGCATAAGAGAGACCCATTTTATATTATTGACTTTTCCCCTTACCTGCAAGGACACGGAATTTAATGTAGCCTTGATGGGCTGAAGATTTTGACACATGTCAAGACAGATATCTTCATTTTAGTTTAAAGAAAAGGCATTACACTTGATAAATATGAACCACTGTAGGTGGCAGAGGCAGCTCAGACTGAAGTAGGGACAATTGTTTCACTCATCTGCAAAAGACATTACTTTTCAATGAAGCCTTAGGTAAAGAACGATGTTATTTAAGAAAGATGAAACCAGAACCATTGCCAGAAATGCAATAGAGGTCTAGAAGTAAACCCCATGTTAAGTAACCTATCATTGTGTCCTTTCTATACATTTTTTTAACCATTCTATAAAAGCCTATGGCAAGGATATAATTTCCTAGAATATGGCCTTTGTAAGACGGTCACCCCCTAGTAAAGTCAGCAATAGTTTTCAATGGAGAATGCATTTTATTCAGAACAATGAATAGACTATTTCTGTTAGCAAACCCTATAAAGCAGAACTGCTTGTTTCAGCCATCAACCTTCTTGTATAAACAGATTTCACTGCAGCAGAAACACAGCCATAAGTACCTAGTATGACTTTATGTCCCTAAATGAACCATATAGCAAAATCTCATTTTTAATAATGGCATTTATGTTACTTCACCAATGAAATGTATAATAATAACAGCAAAATTGTTGTGTTAATGATCAGAGTGTATAATAAGATGCAAAATTAGTAGGATTATGGGAATTTAATGGGATGAGAAGGGCAAGGGATCATCTGCTATATGACTCTTCATGATTGTAACCTGCTGTCTTTATCCCTAGCATGTTTTTATGACTGGTGCACTTTGGTTTGTTTCCCAGTTTGTGTTCTGCCGTGAATGTAAAGAAGAATACCATGAAGGGGAATGCAACTCTCTCCTCAACCCTCAGGGAGCCATGGTCCAGAAGGTAGGGCTCTCACAATTCCTGATCATTATCCCTGGCCCAGCTAGAGTGACCTTTGTCAAATGGGTGCTAATTAAAATCCTAAGTAAAAGCAATTATGTTCATGCTGAATTACTCCAGCCGTCAGAGTTACCGAATTGGCTCTGCAGTGGATTTCAGTCGCTTTGATTGATAGAGTAGCTGAGTTCTGTCAGAAACACACAGGGCTCTGCCATCCGTTGATAAAGAAAAGGCCTTCCCAATGGGTTTTTTAGGGTTGCCTCTATTCAGTGTGAACACTTTTGAAAGCCTTTCTGTAGTCTTGCTGCCTTTCAGCTTATTTTCAGTGCACCAGTCAGGAAATCATGTGAGTTTGGACTGAATAACAAGACTTTTATACAACCTATGCAAAAAATGCTGTTGATAATTTATGTTTTAGTTTAAAGAAATAAAAAATGGATTGTCTAGGCTGGAAGCTGCTAGATGATAATTATTCTATGCTGCTCTATAATTTTGTAGCTATTGTAGCTATAGACCTGGACAGGAAATAGTATTTCTCTCCGGGTATTTCTCTACAGTTGTGATTCAAGTTTCCTTTAAAATAAATAAATCACATAAACCACAGTCTTTCCAATTTAAAAAAAAAAAAAAAAGGAGAGAAAGTGGGAAGTGGAAAGAACAGGAAAACAGGAAAGACATCCCCTAAATATCTCACAGCTTGATGCCCAGGGTGCACTCCTAGGAAGCAGAAAACTGGTATTCAGATGTCTTGGCATGTTTGATGCTAAGGGGAAACTCAAGCCCTGGGCCCCCACAGAGTCCTGTGTGGCAGATAGAGAATTGTGGGCAGGTGCTGATGAAGACCTGCATCCAGCCAGCTCTTGGTGAGGCATGCCAAGCTCCTGTCAGTGCCTGCAGGTAGGCTCTGTTTGAGGCTAGCTTTTGGGGACTCTCACTGTTTGAACATGGAGACTGGGAGGGAGCTGAAGTTCTACTGGGAAGCTTTGCCATATGCTACCTGGAGATGGTTCATATGCCATACTTTGCAGACATTGCACTAGACATTACACTACCTGTGTAAAGATTCTTCTCTTTTTAGTGAAGATCTTCTAATTTATGGAAGGAATTAGCACTGGCTGAGACAGAATTAAACAGCCTGTACCCTAGTAGTCAGACAGGGTATCTACCTCTGTTGCACTGAAATATACTGTATGAGACCCAAAAATCCATCTACTTTGTAAGCCTCTAGTAATTTTTATCTTTAGCAGCTATCAGCAATTTTTTCCCATGAATTTGTGCAACCCCTTTCTTTGAAGCCATATATATACAAGATTTGCAGCTTAACTATCCTCTATGAAGAACAGTTTCATTTTATTTGCAGAAACCTTAGAGCAGTCTTCCAGTTACCATTCACATTTATAGAAAAACAAAGCAACTTCAACAGAGAAATTGAGAGACACTTAAAGCATCCAATAGCCTAGTAAAGTAGGAGAGTGACTCAGTGTCTTACCTTAATTAAATTTAGCTAGAACTTGAATACATCTCAACATGAACTGTGAGCCCTATATTCATTAAGTTATTTATGCCTAGAGTTTTGCCTAGAGTACCGAAAGTTGACATGGCATGTTACGAATGAGTTCAACAACGTTGGCTCTGTGAAAGTTAGAGTTCATATAATTCCTATGTTCTAGGGCAGAGATAAAGGTGTGCCAGGAAAAATCAGAATACCATAAGAAGCAGTGGTTTATTTTAAATATTTTAATATTGCCCTAGCTTTTTCTTGTAACAATGGGAGAACTTCATCCATCTGATCCATTCTCTCAGCACATGAATTGCATCCAATTAGACCTGTTAACTTAGGAATGTTGACTACTTTTGCGGTTCCGGTGTATGTGAACATTTTTGATCTTCCTGAAAAATTTTCTGTACTCTCGAAGAGCTGTTTCAGAATAGCTAAATGATAGTACCAGAATAACTCTTGCATCTGTGCAGATCAGTTCCCCTGTATAGACAAAACCACAGACTATGCAAAATTGATTTAGACTCCAACTTAAGCTGAAGTTAATTGACAGGTCGGCCTTCAATTTTCCCCGCAAGAAACTAAGAGAACTGCACTAATTAAACTTCTCCACGAGGTGGTGCTGTGCCGCTGTGCCACTGTTTTCCCTCCCTTTCCTTAGCCAGGCGAGCAAAGCGAGAGGTAACCGATAGAGGGCAAGCCCAGGTACCGGTGAGATGTTGGTTTCACCCAAACAGCATCACTACAGAGCTCCCCTGCCCACAGCACCTCCATACAGTGCATACAAACCATTCGTGGGGCATATATGGAGCGCAGTGCATGTGGGACAGTTTCCATCTCTCTCACTGAGATTAATGTAAATGTTTATCCCCCTCTGCTTTCAGGCTGTCTGTTCTGTTTGGCCTTTTCATGCTAGATGCGTAAGTCTATGTGTCAGACCTAACTTCCTGTTATTGTGCTGCTTGCTGAAGCAGTGAGCAGGATTTTTTTTATTTGTGACCATCATCTGTTTCGAGGTAGGAATAATACACTTCCAGGGTTGTCTCTAGCTCATGCAGTTTGACTCCTGTCTGGGTCCATATAATTTATTTTATAACTTTTGTTTATTGCCACAACCCCTACCCGTCAGATTTGAGGGTCAACCAGACACATTGCAGCTAAACTTTTCCTCTCCAGAATAGGTGCAGGATACGTGATCGGTCTCAGGGAAATACTCTCCATGTATGGTCTGTCAGGGCAGTGCCTGAGGACAGAGATGGGCCAAAATGGTGGGTGGCGCATCCACAGGTGGCCCATGACTGGCTGGGCAGGGATGTGGGGAGCTGGAGGCGGTGTCATCATGGCGCAGCTATGAGGGTCCAGGAAACATAAATAGTGGTGGTGAAATGGGCCTGTGCTTGGGCAGATATGAGAAAGAGTGAAGAGGAAGCCTGAGGTCAAGAGAGGGGAATGGACCTGGAGAGACTGTGAAGTGGGGGAGAACAGTAGGGAAAGGGGAATGGAGTCAGTTGGCAGGAGGAAGAGGGCAACTGCAGCTGCAGGGCATGGGAGGGACAAAGCAGGTGCCACATGTGGTGCTTCGAAAAGCTAGTCAAAATAAAGGATTTGGAACCATATAATGGTGGGAAGCTAAAGGGCACTGTTTGCTGCTTGGGGTAGAAGAGGCAAACTCGACAGCTGGCATGCAGAAAGCAGCTCAGCTTTAACTGCTGGTGTATCATGACCTTGTATCATACACCTACTGGTGTATCAGACCAGATCTGTGCACAGATATTGCTGATGATTTCCCATCTTAGTATGTAAGTTACATTATTTCAGTGAAAATAAAATTTAGCTGTGGCAACTTCATTTGAGAAGCTTTGTTTTAAAACCATTGCAGCCTCTTGGAGCTGTTTGAACTTTGGGATGTCGGAAGGAATCATATTGGATTAATTAAAAGGCACAGTGTGCATGGTGGAATCAATGACACAGTAAAGGTGACTCCAGCCAGATTTAGGTTTAGAAATAACCACATAGTCCCTGCTATGTACACGACATAACCAGGCTTCCTGGCCCCTTTTAACCTCACACATAGACAATCTATGCTGATGGGGAATCTACTCATAAACCAGTTTCCTCTGTAAGTCCCCACCTTAAAATTAACTTTCATAGAGCAAAATCTTTCTAGTTGGTTTTCTTTGTACAAGGATACGCCATGCACCTTCTTGCTCCCTAGCACCTGGACAATAAAATGTGACCACATATCAGATTTGAACTTTTTCAGAGTAGCTTCCAGGATGATTTTGGTGCTGGGCATGTTGATAAGAGACCTGCAATGTAAACTGTAATAGCAATAGCAATGACTCTGGTGTAAAAGTGGTGCATATATAAATAAGTTAATAGAATATGGGGCAATGAGTCATAAATATTTTGGGGGAAAAAAGTGACACAAACTGGGTGAAATGTGTTATAAAAAGAACCGTTTTAGAAAGGGTTCTGTGGACAAACTTTCTCCAAGAAGCAGCTGATTACATTGTCCTACCACGTCAGTGAGTGTGTAATTGTAAAAAGGTAAGAGCTTTTTAGCAACTTTGCTTTTTCAGAATTTGCTGTGAATTTAGTAAAGAGAATAAATTAAACACCATGATATATTTCTCTAGTTACAGCTGTACACAAATCCCTCCTATAACCTGCATTCAAAGGCTTGAACCTAAAAGAATATCTTATGTCTTATTCCATAAACCCGGTCTACCAGTCTTTGTAGGAAACCCGGACATAAATCTAGTTCATCTCATTTGAACAAACTCCACTATTACTGCTAGGCCAACAACTGTAAACCCAAGCCTAGATAAAACATCCAGTCTGGGATGGGCTGGCATAGTGAATCCTTTACCAGGATTTTTATTGAGCCACAAAGCTATGGGTTCAAAGCCATTCATCTCTTTCAGTGTAAGTTTGTAGCTACTGCTGTAAAACTTCAACTCCACTCTTAACCTGTGGGACACTGCCTGTCCTGGGTGTAGCCATAAGCTAGAGGCCTTGGTCACCCAAATCCCAAAACCTGTCCCCACACCCACCAACATCAAATCAAACTTCGACTGTTTGTTGTTTTGTTACCGAGCCATCACAGTCCTCAGGTAGCTAATGTAGGATCCAGACAGTAGCTTTGCTGTTCTGCAACTGGCAGTATAAAGCTTATCCAGAGCCCCTGTCAGCCCGGGAACCCACCAGATCTAACCAAATGCAGTGCAGTCAGTGCCTCAGCTGAGTCAGGGCAAACCTGATCCTATTCATCAACACATGCTTCCTGGGCTCCTTGGCTGCACCCCTAACCAGAGTTTCTGGGCTCAAACCAACACGGGCATGATATCTCAGGCAAACAATTGGCTCCAAAGCACACACATTTGATCACTTCCCAGAAATGTTTTTTGTTGCACAGGTGCAACATGGCACATCCATGTGCATGCACACATCCAGGAAAACCTGTCACGTCACCTGGCATCCTACTGAAGTCTGTTTTGATGTA